TTGTAGAGGCGAATTTTGATCAAATCTTTACTACTTCACAATATGGTAAGGAATGACTGTTATATGTAAATTTCAATGTATAATCGATAGTTTTCACACTGGGGAATTTTCTTTACAAAGAGGTGCCATAAAACGTATGATTTTTATACCTGTTCTGCTTGATATTTTATTTACAGTCTGAAAATTTGCCAGTCAGGTAAAAATAGCACATATTTAGTATTATTTTTTGATTATAAATTATAATTGACTCAAAAGGGAAAACATTACTTTCTATAATATTAAAGAATTGGATAAGTTTAGATAGATTATTTTTTATTTTACCTGCATCATAATCGCTGTTTTTCTAAAATCGATATCCAAAGTAGGCATTTGCGCTCGTATTTGACAACGCAAACGTCATCTTTTTCGAGGAATGTCACTTTGTCGCTTATAAGCGACAAAATAGAAAAAAACGCTCGCTCTCCCAATTATTAACTATAAATCAAATATGCATTGCTCAGAGTATCCAATGACAACGAGTAAATGACATCTTTCATTTGGGCATAAGATTAAAATGATTTGAGTGAAAAATTTAAATTTTTGGAAATATGTGAACTGCTCGATTGTAGAAACCTTGTGTGTAATTCGAGCGCAAATTGATTGTCGATTTCAAGAGATTGCCGCGCTCCTTCGTCGCGCGTCAACTGTCTCTTTCAATCGACAATATATTATTTTGCGTTCTTAATACACAAATAGCTTATGTTATCAAAAATCTCTAAACCTTCCCCATATAGTTTTGAGTTGGATCCATCGTTCCTCGAAATGGGGGTTGAAATATCTATCCGTATCCGCCATGCAGTAAAGCGCCGTGAAGGTTGAAGGAGCAAAGGAGTCTCGGCAAGTGAAATCCCAACTCTCTTTCCATCTGATCTTGAACATCCTGCTGGTTCTTTGATGGACGGGATCTCGGCGGTCGTAAGAGCTCGTTGAACAATGTCATTGACTTCCGCGTGGCGTGCGAATATTTACAGCTAAAACCATGATAACCGGTTGAAGGGACATATGCCCCACAGGGGTTGTCTTTTAGTAATGCATCGTAGGTGGCCTTCAGTTTTGGGAGTTCCCAAGACTTTTGTTTCTGCCGATTTGTGGATGTGGGACGTCGCTGCCAGTTTTGGACCATTCTGAGGTTGCTTCTGCCAGTGTTGCATAGTGATGAGAGGGGCCAGAGAATTTCGTCAATTAGACCGTCACACATGTGGACCGAAGCCAAATAAGATGATGTAGCAGTGTCCAAGCCATGACGTAGTCCGAGACCTCCCTTAGTAAGATAAGGGGGCTTGTTCAACAATGGCTTTAAGCGCGGCACCGTATTTAATGAGTAGACCTTCCTCTCGGAAAGAGGGTGTACACCTTAAAAAATACATTAATCTGGGAGTTGAAATGGATACTTTAAGAAGATAGAATGCTGAGTGGGCAGAAATTAAACCCAGTCGCTGACAAAAAGTTTCAATTTGTCGATCTTTCGTAGTAGCATTATTGTGTTTCAGAATAGTAATATCCGGAGCTACCCTAGGAGCTACCTACCACCATTTCACTTCTCTCTTCTGAAGTACAACCAACGACGTCCCGAAAAACAATGGTCGAATATCTTCTGGTAAAGCACATTGTATATTACTTTGTTTTGTAGGGAGGTGGTTGCTCTGGTCAGGCGATCAATTTCTTCACCATTTGATTGGCAAATCAATTGTTTGATAATTTGCGGACGTAGGTCGCCGAGAACACCGGCTGATCCAGGTCCTTTTCAGTGATAAGGGTGTATGAGACGTCTGTGACTTCAGGAAAGTCGACGGATTGTGAATGAGGCGGGTGCCTTTGCTTTCGATCATTTTTGCAATTTTTTCCGCTGCGGGAATCCATAGTCGTACGGGTGGTTTTCGAAATTTAAAGTCAGATATCTGTTTTGAACGTATATTTGCGATGTTCTTCTTCACCCACGAAGTATGGTCCTTCACATCTGAGTTTTCTGGTTCGGCGAAAATACGGAAAGGGAGTAGAGTCTCACCTATAAGTTCGCCATTTCATCCTGAGTGAGGTTAATGGTTAATGGTAATAAATTAATTAATTTATTCTTTGAGGGGTGGCGCAAATTGACATGAAATTGATACCAAATAGTTTTTTAACACGTTTAACTTAAACCGACGACAGTAATTTTATCCTTTGAAAGTATGCAACCGATTATTATGCCAACGCATTCTTTTACGTACTGCGGTATGGTACAAAACGTTGTTTATTTATGTACGCTGTTGGCAAGCACGTTACAATTATAAACAGTATGTTATGGCGTCTTATAATTAATCTACGGAAATTGACGGGCGTTGCGAGGAATAATCACGAATCTAGATTGGTCAGGAAGTAATTTAAATTATGATCAGAACTACGTTTAGGCTTTGCTTGAGAAACAAAATCCTTTAAATGGCTTCGCGTGGAAATGTTAATGTTCCCAGTGATGGATGTTCGTCAGCGTTATTCTTTATTTGCATAATCATCTTTTACAGAAGAAACTTGACGCTATTCTTCCGCCTGCCTTTTTCGGAAGGTATAAGAAATTCCTAACAGTATACTCGCCTTCTGCCACCTTTCGTTGTCTCAAAATATTGAAAATTATGTAAGTAACAAATTTATTGATGGCTTTGTCTCATTAGTGCTTGAATTCATTTCGTAAATGAAAATTGTGAAAATGTTCTATTATGGTAGTAGGTATAGTTTATGTCAACGTTAAAAGCCATTCCAGGGAAATTGAACAAACAAAAATCGAACCCCCGCCCCTCCATTCCTAAAATTAGTTCAAGTGGAAACGGGTGCACTAAAGAACGTAATTAACCCTCTCTTTCCCTTTCTTATTCGGTAATAAATTAAGTTGTAAGATCGAGAATATGAGATTGTATTAAAAGTGGGGCGTGGTGCATGAATAATAGATTATATTTACGCTGTCTACAGGTGTTTGCCTTCCATACCAGATTCCACGTTTGACTCTTCAATTTCCTTGTACACAAACATTTGATTTCTATTTTTGTACGTATCAAGAGATCCTGGCGATCATCGAGATTGGCACTAGAAAAATGTTCTTATTTTGGAAATGGCTGCTTCACTGAATTAATTTACATGAAATAGTGTAGTGATAGTGAATGAATACACATATTTGGCTACACGTACGTGCGTTACAGACACGGTTAAATTTATACGTGACGTTTCATTTGCGGATCATTCAGTGTAGTGTAGATGATGAACACTGTCGTCTAGGGGTTGAATAGTATCACATAACAATGCATGTATACAGGGAGATATACATACCAAACTATGCGAAATTTGGTAGCCACGATTTGAATTTTTTTCTAGGGATCACTCAAAAGTGTTTTGTCCTTTCACATTTTTATTAAATATTTCCATAACATTTATAACATCATTTTACGATCTTTTGTTCTCGATTAATAAATCGTTTGCGTGTGTAGTCCCTCCTTTGCTTACTAACATTTAGTGTCTTTAATGGGGTAATGCCGAGGGTAATGCTTTATCGGAGATGTAACGAAGAGGAAGAACAAGTAGGCACAGATGTAAGGGTATTTTACATCTGAGCTTGTTCCGCCTGTTCGTTTAGTTTAGACAGTGCGTTTTGCTGCAGCCCAAGCGAAATTTATGGGGAGGTTATTACGATTTGTACGATCATTAAAGTTGATATATTGCATCGCGTGTCCAACACCAAGCTGCGAATAGATCTTTGAAAAGTCATAATATACCTAAATAACAGGTAAAATACTATTTGATTCAACGGTTTTTAAATTACTATTTTTCG